AGAACACACCTGGTCCACCATAGGCCCTGTTATTCTGTTTCCTTCAATTCGCAGCTCTTTCAGGTCGCGCAATCTACCAAGCTTGGGCGTGACGATACCAGTGAGCTGATTGTGCGAAAGGGCAATTCTTTCGAGCTGTGTCATCCATTCGAAGCATTCAAGAATAGTTCCTTCCAACGCGTTGTGGTTGAGCACAAGAATCTTGAGGTTACGCAAGTCGCAGAGCTCTGATGGTATCCATCCTTCCAAACCATTCATTGCGATTGAAAGATATTCCAGATCATTTAGTAACCCTAGATGAGAAGGTATGGATCCAACCAGACTGTTGTCGGTCAAGTAGAGCCGTTTGAGTCCACTCAAAAAGCCTACTTCTGGCAAAAGTTCACCGTTGAGATTGTAGCCGCCTGTCACACACATTGTATGCATAGAAAGCACCAAGCGACGTTAGCAAGCAAGCAAGATTCTGACTATGCCCGAGGGACTACCGCATGCACGCACTCACCTAACTCAATCATTTCTACCTCATCTCCATCATCATCGCATTGTACTCCAGCCCAGCAGCACTCGTGAACCCCGCTAAGCCACCGATGGGCGTCTTTTGGTTCATAACGGGCAGCCGCCCCCATTTCAGCTGCTTTGTATTCTTGGTGAACGCAAAAGCTGTTTACATCCGCTTGCTCCACGTCGGGTGGGTTGCACGACAACCACTCCCCATCTTGAGACAACGAAAAGTAGAACAGGGCCATTAAGTACCGCTGCTGCACGCGTGAGACATCCTCCATGGTGGGATCCAATTGCAATGGATCAGAATATAGTATCCACTCCAACGCTCTGACGTAGGGGCTTGATTCTTCCTGCTCGAATATCGAACCTTCTATGAAACTATCTACGAGATCCTCGAACTCAGATTCGAACTCTGCCGAACGCTCTCCTGAATTCGTTGGTATTTCCTCTGCTCGATCGCAAGTAGCCTTTGACTGACCGTCTTGATTTCCATCAGGTCGGTTGTTGTTCCCATTGGAATTGCCTTGGCTCTGAGGTTGTTCGTTGTTGTTGTTGCTGTTGTTTGGCCGCTGAGCTTGTGGAGGCAATGTCAAAACTGGCGCAGCGGTCGACGCTACAGCGTTGTCGTTGTTATTGTTGGTCTGCAGTATCACAACTGCCACGACAATGGCCACGACGATCAACACCACCGCACAACAACACACGACGACGACAAATGCAAGGAGACGTCGATTGTTGTTGGAGTCGGCCTCTTTGTCGACTTCCACAGCGGCTTGTACAATGATCGGGCCAGTATGGTTTGCTGTGTTTTGTTCATCGACCAAAACGGCTTCGATCAGATTCGCATGGTCACCGTGCACTCCGTGCCCATCGTCTTCTGCTGGATCGCCGTCGACCTTTCCAGCAGCCCTGTCTTTATCGGTTGTGCTTTTTGCCACCATGGCCATGCTTTTCTCGACGTCTTCTGTCGTTTCTTCCAAGGCACCGACGGGTGGAGGAGTCTTTTGCACCGTGCTTGGCGCGGTTTGCGGGCGTCGTTTCTTTTTGCGCAGTACTTTTTCGTCGTCGGCCGCAGATACAGAACTGGCTCCTGGAAGCGAAGCGGCAGCGGCCTCGTCGAGTGACCTGGTGCGTTCCGGGGTCAATCTGGATCGTTGTCGCTCGACGACACGGGGTTCCATGTTCCTAGCGGAAGGTTCCACCGTGATGCCGTCTCGGGATTTGGACCGTTGGATTTTTCTCCTAACAGGGTCATCATCATGGCTGGCCCCATCGGGAGGGGTGGGTGCTACCAGCATGCGAGGAGACGATCGTGCCCTCAACCCCTTGGCATTGCCAGGAAGTGGCCCTGATGCAGCCTGAGCCCCTGGGCGTACAGCCGGAGCAGTTGTCCGTCGTCCCTTTCCTGCTGGTGGGGGCCCTGACGCTGCCTGAGCACCTGGTTTCACGGCGGCGGTTGGTTCAACCGGTTGGGTAGTAGTGCTTTCTGCGGCTGGGGTGGGATCAACCAGCATGCGAGGTGAAGATCGAGCCCTCAAACCCTTGGCATTGCCAGGAAGTGGCCCTGACGCTGCATGAGCCCCAGGGCGCACGGCCAGAGCTGTTGTCCGTTGTCCCTTTCCTGCTGGTGGAGGTCCTGACGCTGCCTGAGCACCTGGTTTCACAGCAGCAGCCGCAACTAGGGTAGGTTCGACAGGTCGAACTGTGCTTCTAGCCACGGCAGCAGCTCTCTTCCGCGGTTGTCCGTTCAGTTGGGTTGGCGGTCCTGATGCCGATTGAGTACCTGGTTTGGCTGCGCCAGGGGTTGTTGGTTCCTGAGTAACTTGTCCCTTTGTTGCAGTTTTGGATCCTTTTGAAGCGGTTACCCCAGATTTTGCTGGTAATGGTTTCTTTGTTGTTGTCGATTTTTTGCGGTTTTGGCTGCAGGACCGGCTCCATTATTTGCATCTTTTGTCGCCTGTGTCTTTGTGTTTTCCGCATTTCCAGCTGATTGATTGACGTTGCTATTCGGGGCCATTTTTCTTCCCTTGAGACCCCGAGTTTTTGGAGATTTTGAGGGGGAAATTGCGCCATCTGCAGTGGGGGCGTCAGTGTTTCCTGGGGCGACAGACGGTTGCTTTTTTGGAGCCCCTGGCTTTACTTTGGCAACGGTTCGTTTCGGTGAACTTTGAGCATCACTGACGGATGAAGCTGGTGCTGTCTTCTGAGGAGGGACATTTTGAGCTTTGGCCTTACTCGGTGCCTCGCTTGCTAGAGTGGCTGATGACTTCTTCTTGGCATTGGGTGATTTTGGAGGGATTTTTTTCTTGCCTGCGGGTTTCTTTGCTTCTGTTGCTTCCGTTGTTGGATTGGCTGCAGGAACCGATCCTCCCTCTGCTCCCTTCTTGGCTTTGGCAACGCTTCCGTTCTTGCCAGGCTCATTTGCTTTTGCCGTTGGCTTGACGCCCAGGGTGCTTCGGGTCGACGTCGAAGGCGTTGAGTCTTTTCTATCGGCCATTTTTTGTTCAGTGCTCACTACCGGTACAAACGACAACCTAAGAAGCTGCCTCTATTGCAGTAGCTGAGTCTGCAAGGTCTCCTCTCCTCCCGTCTCACTTGCAACTCCAATGGCTCTCTCGGGTGTTCGCTTTGACGCTTCATCAACCATGGCTGCACCATGGAGGTCAACACCGTGTTCCTGCAGCCGTGCAGGATGTGGGGGGCTTCAAGAATGACCCAGATTGAGTCTTGTTTTGGGAAATAGTTTCGATCTGGTTTCGGAAATTTAAGAGCTGAATAGTCGCGGATAAATGAAAAACTTAAAATGAGCTCATTTCGAATACTCCAATAGTCTCCAAGTTGGAGAGTCTCTTAAGTAATTAATACCTGTACTCGAAGCTGATTTGGAAAATTAAAAGCTGCTTTTGAAATTTACAAGTGCACTATGCATAGCACTGTTAATTAAAAGGGATATAATACTCCAAACTCACATATAAGAAATCTCTAAATTCAGTGCAGCTCTGGGCCTTTCTTACCAAGCAGCACCATTGCCCCCCAGATTGTTTCTACAGTAACAAAACAAGCCAATTTCAGCATAGAAGACTTTCTTGCTATGCTTCTAAATCAAGCAGGGTAGTACTTGAATACACCCAGGGGGGTGTCTCAAATCAACTTACTATTTCCGGCAACGCTTTTCACCGCCTTGTATGCATGGCTTACCACCTTCAACCATCTTCGACCGACTTCTACCGACTTCCACCGCCTCCAACCGACTTATTTACCGACTGTTTTACTGCCTTTTGCCGGCTTAGTAGAGTACGCTTTACCACCTCTTACCGTCTCTTACCACCTTCAACCGCTCTCCACCGCCTGTTCTCTTCAGCGATAATGCGGGAAAGCTCAAGATATGACAATAACAGTTGGTTTGAGCCACCCCCCAGTGCACCTGGGCCTTTTGGTCCAACTTGCTCAGGACTTGTAAATTGGGTTGGATCAAATAGAGATGGAGATCACTGTCTCTGCCGTGAGGCAGAAAATTTTGCAGATTAGGCCCAAGTTTGAAGCATTTTCATGGTGTCAGACTAGTAGTATTTCTTATGCTTTGAGGTCTCAATACTGGGAAGCTTTCTTACAAGTCAGTGATATTTCAGGATCAAGAGTTTCTTAACATTTTCTAAAATCTCAGGGCTCGCTTTCTTGTAGTGGAGTTTCTTATATTCGAGTTTGGAGTGTAATAGTAGGTGCTGATTATGAAGTTTGGTTTAGGAGCTGGACAAGAAGTGGGGTTTGCCCAATCCAGGGAGTTGGTATGCACATGGTCAAGGAGAAAACCAATGTCATCGTTAGACTAGCTACCGTAGCTAGTACTGAAACGAGAAAAGTAGAGATAATCTGGGCAGGGAGCGACGAAGACCCTTTGTCGGTTTTTGGTAAGCTGTACCTGGTACCGAGATGGAATAGAGATTCTAAGCAGCTGCCCCACTGCTGCTGCAGATTGGAGAGTGGGTTTTCCTGCGTTTCTTTGTGCATATCATCCGTCCGTATCATGCAACATGATGTACCGCCAGCGGTTGAGGGATATTTATGGACATGCGTCGTATAGTACGAACCGTACAGGGCACGGATCGAATCTCTCAGCGTGG